CGAGGTTGATAAAATACTTTATTCGGCTAAGGTCTCGGTGTCTTCGTACTTCAGAGCCATATTGATCCTAGACGATTGTTTACGGTTTTTCTTTCTGACTATGTGGGTCTTCGACGTAGTATCCACTCGAATCTTCTTCAGTGGAACACCACTCGAATGGGTAATCTCAGTCGGCAGTGCTCTTTTAAAAAGGATGGCTATTGAAACTGATTGCCCGCTTTTAATCGTTTGTTCTTCTCCAGACAGTCCATCCTGCAGAAGTAGTAGTCATTATCATCCAGTGCAGAACGTAACAATATTTATAAACTGACTTTCCCTTAACTTCGGCATTACTAGTGAACATGTACTCATTCAATGAAAGCTGACACGAGGTAGATAAATTCATGTATTTTGAGAAAAACACTAGCTCAATACATTGGCCAGCCCATACCTAACACGGGGTTATTATAAAAGTTTATAAAACTTGCTTAGTTAAAACTTAAAAATATTATGTGACTTGCCTAGTGAAGACATGTGGTTAGTGATGCAGTACTTCATGAAGCAGGGCACTGGTTCAATATTCTACCCAACGCTATCCTCCAAGCCAAGCGAGAACATTCTAGCTCGGCTAACGGTAGGATTACAAGGAGAGTCAGCTTCGCCAGCACTGCACTACATTTTCAAAGGAGAGATAATCCTCAAGCAGCAGTCAAAACAACACTTGAAATACAACCACAAAGTTGCTGAGATGTTTGCAAAACTCCGGAACGCAGGTGTATGCGGTGGGGAACGAACGCACTATTGTCCTTTCCGAGGAGTAACGCGTTCACCACCACACCATGCGGGTCCTTTGTTTCGCCTGTCTCTCAGCTATTGCTGTGGCAAAGATCGATAGAAATAGCTGAGAGACAGGCGAAACAAAGGATCCGCATGGCGTGGTGGTGAACTCGTTACTCCCCGGAAAGGACAATAGTGCGTTCGTTCCCCAGCATAGACACCTGCGGTCCAGAGTTTTGCAAATATCTCAGCAACTTTGTGGTTGTATTTCGCTTAGTACCCTACCGCGAAATTATAGTAGGCAAAAAATAAAAAGGTATAACACTTGAAATGTTCGAAGACCGTCGTGGGCTACAAATACTTCAAAAACGAATCGAATGCAAGGCGTACTGGGATCCGCCTGGTAGATGTGATGGTGGGTCGTGTAACAATAATATATATATCAAATATATCAAACACATTATTAAGGAACTAATGCAATTGCCAACATGTTTTGAATTCTGTGTGAGTGGCACTCCAGAATTTGAAATTTGTGGCCAAAAAAAGAAAACTATGAAAACATGCACAGCGACTTCTTTAGTTACTGGGCTTTGTTCACGCATAGCTATCCTTTTCAATTACGAACTACAGTGATATCAAAAAGTGTTTGTGAAAGATTTTTTCAATGTGGAACTATTTATGCCAAAGAACTCATTTCGGAGCCATTTTAGGAAGTAATCGCATCTACAGCTCCTCTCAGCTAAAATCATAAAGCAGAACAAAGTTTTATAACGAAGAATATTACCTGATACTTGTCACTTGAATAGCCCGTCCTCACAGGTGGTGCAGGCCCCAGTGAAATCTCCATTTTTCGGAGATTTGCTGGTTAAGCCAATGTGGTACCCTGGAATCCCGAGGTCAGCCAGGCCTAAGTCGGCCTCAGGTCTTCACCACCACAGGCAGTTGCAGACCTTGTGGATCAGAGGGAGATTTACCACCATGCGACTTCGATACCAGGACGGTGGTGGATCCTGGTATTAGTTTACTCTTGGCTGGACTTCTTGGTTATATGTCGGACTCTTTCTCAGCCTGGGAGACCCTACTAGGGTATGAATCTTCCGCTGTATATCGCAGTCCGACACCCAGGAACACTTTCCAGCCACAATCAGGCGGTAAACCGTTGGGAGACGTCGAAAATTATCGTATGATAAAGTGATTTTCCCTATGAAGAGCTAAGTAGGATGTCTGTTCTAGCACCCCTACTCCTTTATGCATTAGACCTTCCCATTGGAAATGCTCACTTTATTACTTCAGAAACCATTTTATGACTCTACCTACTCTAGCTGGTAAGCATTTTCAGTGAATCACAGCTTGCTGGGATTATATTTGGTTCGGTGGCGGCTACGTTTATCATCTGTTCAACGATTGCCGTGATATTCTGGGTTGTGCTGAAAAAATATGGTTTGCGTGAGGATTTTTTTACATATTGATTCATCCTCTTATTAATGATTTACTATTTAGCTCCTTAAGAGGTACAATGTGTAACTTTTTATTTGTTGCCTGTTATTTTTCATGACAAGATACTATGTGAAATGGTGCTGAAGTATCTGCAAAGTTCAGACCTTAGCCAAGATTCGAACCCGCGAATACCCATTGCGGGGATTCACGTGCTACCCGCTGCACTACTGAACCCCTCGATTTGCCTTTTCCTCAACCACTCTTTACCCAGTGGTGCAGTGGCAACACGTGAGCTCCCGCAAAAGGTAATCACCGGTTCGAATCTGGTCTGAGGTTTGAGTTTTGCAAATATCTCGGCATCATTGTGGTTTCTGGGAGTCTTCGTTTCTTTTATTTTTTCTCACGTTTTGTTCTTTTTACTCTTTTTTATTATTCTCCTTTTTCACTCTTTTTTGGTGTACTTAGCCTATCCTCAACATTCATGAGGCAAAAACAAAAGAAGCGAAAGGAAACTTCAGGTGAAAACCGAAAAACTGCTGAGAAAGCTGCGTATACTAGTGGTGACATTGAGAGTAAGGCTAACGAGATCATGTCCAAGATGGTTTCGAAAAAGGACCAGGTAGTGATTTAAATTTGCATCTATTGTATTTTTATATACTATTACTTTTGGACGCACTGCTTATACTTTTAGATTATACTATCATACTGTTATACTATTGTACTATCGTACTTATTGTAATTCGAAGAATAATTGGGATTGTTGAGATAAGGATATAACTGATGGGGCGAATAGCACAGTGGGAGTGGTGTCCGTCATCACGAGGATGGTGCTAGTTCGATTCCGCTCCGGGCCAAGTCTCACATCCCTCCTGGGTCGGGATATTGGGACCGATCTTGTGTGGGAACAAATCACTCTGCAATCCAATTGGGAACACTCCAGCCCAGCTATCTCAGGACCTTAGGGAGAGTCGATTCGACTAGCATTCCACGGCATTCAAGATGAAATAAAGATCTTCAAGCAGTAGCCGAATTCACATTTAAAAGTTGGAAGATCCTCGTGGATAATGAATGCGAGGAAACGAGTCGAATGTGAGAAGTGCTGGGGTCAGCACAGTAGACGTGAAGACGGGTCATATAAAATAAAATAAAGAAAAATGATAAACTTACTATAATTACAATAGTAATTAACGACCATCATCTGTTTACTAATCAGTTTGGGAGTTTTTGTGCGAAATTCCAAACAAACTCCTACAATTTTTAAGTGACTACCTTTAATTATTGACTGTTTATCGATTACTACCAGATAACAATGATGGATTCGTTCAAAATACCACGAAAACTGCTAGACATCGGCACTCAAAAGTCGTTCTCTGTCGAAAACATGAACCAGGTTGGTGTGTTGTCAAGTCATTGTTTGAACATTTTCCGTAATGATGGCGAATTAGAATCTTTAATAGGCTTGTAAGGAAACGAAATATTTGGATCGTTTATAAAAATAACGGAATTTCAAAGACAGCCGCTAAGTTATTGATTGGATAGGATTCGTCTGCGCAGAGTTCTAAACTTCTGATAAGGTTTGCCAGCTGAACTAGTGCTAACCGCTTAACGTTTCCGGCTATTCCCATTGTTTAATGAAAGTTGTATTGTTTGGAAAGAAATGTTCTTTTGTAAAAATCTACTATAAAAATTGCTTCTGCGCGATTTATCTTTTCTTACTTTCATAAACTTTAAATAAAAAATAAGCTTAACAAGCATAGATTGTTGAATAAACATAGCTGAAGCAACTGTTAACAATGCTGGGTGTATATTTTATAATGTTGAGCTTACACGAGGTTGATAGCGATGTTTATCCGGCCGACGTTTAGACGGCTTCTTTATCGGAGCCATCCGAGTCGATGGATCCAGGACTGCTACCATCCATGGATAATATCTATCATTAATTTTGAAACCGACCGCCATTAAGTCTCGGTAGCAAAATAATCAAGATGTGTTTAGAGTGTTAAGCTTACACGAGGTTGATAGAGATGTTCATTCGGTTAACGTTCGTTTTTTCCAACCTCGGACAAAATCATCTTCAAGGTCCTGAAAAATCCGCCCACATCAGATTTGCTGCCCAACAACTACAAATTGATGTTATTTTGAGCTAAAAGAATTAGTGATGCAATTTACACTTAGTAGTTATTGTTTTTATTACAACTTTATTTGACACACATCAAAACGAAAGCGATTAAGAAATAAAGTGTGCGTTTGATTAACGCCGCTAAGCGGTTGCTATAGAATAGAAAACACAATTAAAATAATGTTAACTTTTTATTTACTGCCTATTACAATTTTTCACGGCAGGATGTTATGTGTGGTACAGCCACAATGATGCTGAGTTATTAGCAAAACTGCGGACCGCGGGGCTTGCGCTAGGGAACGAGCGCGCTATTGCCCTTTCCGGGAGCTAACGCGTTCACCAGCACACAATACGGTTCCTCCGTTTCACCTGTCTCTCAGCTACGCGTATGGATCAGCTCTCAGGATCTCAATTATTTCTATGGCTCAGCTATCACGATTTCAGGGACAGGCGAAACGAAGGACCAGCATGGTGTGGTGGTGAACGGGTTAGCTCCCGGAAAGGGTAAAAGCGCATTCGTTCCCCACCGCAAACAGCTGTGGTTCGGGGTTTTGCAAATATCTCAGGATCGTTGTGGTTGCATCACATTTAAAACAGCTATTAACAGATTTTTTAGGCGAGCAGCAAAGTTGGTGTGCTATTGAAAACAGAGGATTCAGCTGGCTTTGGTATGAGTATACAAGGTAATATGAATGAAGGTATCTATGTGAAGGACGTCGTACCAAAAGGTGTCGCTGATTTGACGGGTAACATTCTACCAGGTTTGTGATTCTTCTTCACATCAGCTTATTTTGCCACTATGTTGTACTTTCCGGTGGTTTCCAATAGATAGTTCTTCGACCGCCTCTTTAAATTTTACTGGGACAAAAATATGCGTGCCATTTTACTGTTTTGTTATTGGTGACTGATAACGCGTTGACCAACCGCACACGAGGGTGCAGTCTTAACGGTGCTGTCCGTTGTCCAACATGCAGACGTTTGCTTTATTTCTTATATACAGCATTATTTTCTTAACTTGATGATAATTTTAATGGTGAAGAGTATGATTTATCTAGCACGATTGCTGTTGTGTGGAATTAGTGGGATAAACCAAAGTCTGTTATAAATCCATAAAGTTCTGAACTGTTGCAATAATCTATTGATGGAGAAATTGTTGTCAGTTATCGAAAAACCAGCAAAACCAGCCTCACCATGAAAGGGTTAAGTTTTTTTTCCCAAATTCATTTAGACTTCCATATTTAGGTGACCGAATCAAATCATTGACAATCGATTTCGACTACATGGTTTATGAAGATGCGGTGACGTTACTCAGTTATGCATCACCCTATAAGGTTAAATTCGAACTCGAGCGAAAAATCGAAACGTCTCCATCTACGGATAGACATATATGTCAGTGCGTTATGGATTTTTTGTTTCATTTGCCAGCATGGTAAACACAACAAGGAAATACTAGATAGCGAGAAAATATGAGAAGGAATAAGCAATCGATCCAGTGAAAAAGAACTCTTTGGACTGATTTTCATAAGCAAAGTCCTGTTTGTCACTTAACTTACCTAATTTTCTGCACAACTGAACATATCACTTACTTTTATCTTAGTTTCACTCTCATAAAAGATCTGATAGTTTGTGGAACCTCCTTTGTTTTGCTTGATTACACGCCAATGAAATTTATCGGATGAGCTTTTCATGAATATTTATATCAACACCTCCATTTCAGCAAGTGCACGGCTCCATCCGTTGTTCCGCAGCAACACACTGACCCACATTCATTTCAATCCGATTTGGTAATTTGTTATCACTGGAAATACTTTTATGTTCACACAGAGACACTGAAATGGCGATGTACTTACAGACTGTGCCGGCGATCACACTATTTCTATTTGGTTCCTTCTTTCCTAAATATACTGTATCGACTAATTCGACAGAGAAGGGTTGAGGTTTATGTGGCGCGACAGGCGGAAATTTTGTTATTTCCACTACGTTGCCTCGAACTAGGGTAAAGCAAGACAGAATACCTTGTGTTGAATGAAGAAAGACTAACACCTTATACAGCTATAACTGGACTAAGAGGAAACAAGACCAAGTGGATTTCCAAGATGAGACAAATAGAAATAGGTTCACAACTGAATGCCAGTCTGCCAATCAATGTGTTTTCTTGAGAAAGGGTGGAGCGTCTGTTTCGCACGACAAAATGTCTCCAGAAAATTAGAAAATCGATGGAAGAAATGAAAAAAGAGTGCTTAATCCGGATATAAACTGCTAGAGGTCGAAGGCATGATACAAATCAGTCGTAATCATGGCTCTTCGCAGGTATAAGTGGTACGATCAAAGTGATTTGGTTATAGATGAGATGCACGCGTGTGGTGCAGTGGTTGCAGGCGCCACTGCGACACACGTTGAATCGATCCTCGCACCCATGGCCCACCAAGCCTTCCATCCTTCCGGGGTTGGAAAATTGGTACCAGACTCGTCTGGGAGGATAACTGATCGGGTTCGATACATCGGTAGGCCACCGCGAGTCATTGTAAAGGCCAGATATGCATTCAATCACCTCAAACGATACTTAATGAAGTCGAATGCGTGGCGCATCCCTTAGAGATTGATCAACGCCGAAAGCTTTATCCTTTTAGGATGTACAGGTATATAGAACAATATACGAATAACATATAAAACACTGAGACAACATGAAGCTATAAATCATTTCAAATGAAGTAGAGAATAACCTTTAAACGTACATATAGGTTGTTGGGTTCGCATTTTGGTTCGTTCGCCTACCGTTTGAACGTTCATGTACCTTTTTCCGCAAACGACGTATTAAATGTTCATTGAGCATGAATTTTTTCTGATATCATAAATTAGCGGTAATAGGCTATTCTAAGACTTTTACGACAGATATTCATCAGTCCTCATAGGAAGGTGGAGGTGCGGCTAGGGCTCTCACAAGTGCTAACGATTTCAGCAACTAGTTGTTCGGGTGACAAATTACCGTGGCAGGACCAATTAATTTATACTCCTACACATTTAGTAATTATGTAGAGCACTTGTTTTTAACATGAGTGGGAGTGACAATAATTTTTTTACAAGACCCGTCCTCAAATCCATGGTGGGGATGACGCCACTTCTTCCATTCGATTGTTTTCCTCATATCTATCATTCACAAAGGTGTTCAAACTTTTTGCCCGCGGCTTCGTTATTACTCGATGATCTTCGCCTTCTTTATGAATGTCGTTGAATGCTTATCGATCAATTAGATCTTCTCTGGAGCTCTAGGAGAGCCGAGCTACAACGCTTCTGAAGAGAGAGGTGATACCAGGCAAATCTGGTGCCAATTTGAATATTTAGAGGTAGTGTATATAATAGTGACTTGACTGGAGATGGTGTTATCAAACTTGGTTTCTTTAAACAATTAAATTTGAAATCCTTTCCAATTTCAGCATCTCTTTTGAATCTTACATTGCAGGCAATCTCACTACTCTTCCGAGAATTTAAATGAGTGCAGCGACTCTTCAAACACAATTGAAAGTTCTGTGATTGTTGATGACCTCAATAGCACGGTATTAGAAAAAGAAGTGGAACAGAAGACGGAAGAAGAAAAAGACATCTTATCTGCGGTCCATAATGCAGAATCGCCAATAGTGACAAGTGAGGCGACAGACAAAGCTGCTATAGGTATGTGAGAGCAAAGATTACAATAATTTTTCTTTTTTCCGATTGGTCGGTTCTGATTTGTTGTTTCATGGTCAAAGAAAAAAGGACACACTATTCGTTAAAGTTCAGTTTTAACGTGCGTCCTTTACATAACAATTTTCTACATGTGGCTGTGACGACTTCGATTTTGGCGTACAGAACGGCATCGTTGATATTTTATCGTTGGCGTAGGGGGTTCGGACCCTTTCCCTTACTTGTGTGAAACGGGATACTCCTAGCATCGCCCTTTCGACTACGCGTTCAATAACGCTGAATGATCTTTCGTCTTGCTTACGCATCGACCAGGTTTTTAACTCATACGGTAGGGAAGGAAGTACTGCCCAGTCGAAAAAGTAGGCACGGAGTCGTGTGTTCTTTGTTCTCTTCACTACATCCTCGATGCTCTTGAAAGCTCCCCAAGCTGCTCGTTCCCTTCTGCTCAACTCTGGCGCTAAGTCGTTTATCATGTTGATTTCCCGACCTAGATAGACATAACTGAAGCATTCGGAAATATTCGTTCCAATTTTAACTTATTGTTTTCTGTCTACTCTTTTTTACGGAGCGCAGGTGTCTGCGGAGGGGAACGAACGCGCTATTGTCCTTTCCAGGGAGTAACGCGTTTCTAACGATCTTTGCCACAGTCATCTGCGGTCCGGAGTTTTGCAAATATCTTAGCATCACTGAAGTGATATTTGTTCCGTTGAGCGTGAATGAGGCATATGAAACCAGTCCGTTCCTCATGAACATCGTTTTCGTGAGATTTAGTCGAAGACCAATCTTTCCATAGGCTTTATCAAAGTAGGCAAGCATACGTTTCACTTGGCTAATGTTTGGTGTTATAAGGACGATGTCATCAGCAAAGCGAAGATGATGTAACTGCCGACCATCGATTTTCACTCCCATATTATCCCATTCCAATGTTCGCATTACGTCCTCGAGAGTGGCGGTAAATAATTTTGGCGAGATGATGTCGCCTTGCCTAACTTCTCTTTTGACGTTAATGTTAATATCGTTGTAGAATGGTGATATCTTGGTTGTGAAATTTTTGCACAGCTCACGAAGAATCTTTATGTAGTGAGTAGGAACGCCCTGACTATCATGGCCTTCCATTACTGCTGCTATCTCAATTGAGTCAAAGGCCTTCTTTAAATCGATGAAAGTGAGACAGAGAGGTCTCTTGCGCTCCCTGATACTTCAATGAGCCTTGTTGTCTTGTGGATGTGGTCTATCGTACTAAATCATTTTCGAAACCCTGCTTGCTCACATTGCTGTCCTTCGTCCAATATTCTGTCAATCCTGTTTAGGATTACTCGAGTGAGAAGTTTGTAGACGACAGACAGTAAGCAGATTGGGCGACAGTTACCGATATCGTGTAGGTCACCCTTCTTTAACAATAACACGGTCCTGCTGGTCTTCCACTGAGTGGGGAACTTGCATTCAGACAGGTAACGTGTGAAAAGCTGAGCCGATGTGTTTAAAAGGACTAGTGGAAGGTCCTTCAGGTGTTTGGATCCTACCCTTTCCGGACTTGGTGCTGTTCGATTGTTCAC